GTCTCATTTCCCAAGAACAGAATTCTATGACAGGCATTCCAACAAAACTCACAGGACCTCAGAAATGACCTGTTCCAATGGCTTCCAAATGCCTGTGTGTCAACCGCTGCGGGCCTAACTGCAAAAGAATACCATGGGATAACTGAAGTACAGGTGCCCAGGCCCTAGCCACAGAAATTCTATTCTATTCTAATCTAGGGTTCAAATCTTCCCTGTTGTTTCTGATGCAATGGTCTAGTCTGACCTCTTCATTTCACACATGAAGAACTGGGGCTGAGAGAGAAGCTGGCCCATCAGTTACCAAATGCCAAGGCTTCCAGCTGGTGTTTACGGAGGCCACAGGATGAAGCCAGACCCTCTGCAGTGTCCCTACACCAGCCCCTGAAAACAGCCCAGGGCGCCATGAAGGCTCATCAAGGCATTCCTACAGAAGTCATCTTCCTTTGCTCCCCCTTACCTACTTGTTCTTCCTCACGCCAGCGTGCCTACCTCTTCTACTGTAATTCCAGTAAAATGCTCGTGCATCGGCTGTTCTGTAAGCCCCTCGATATGCACTCACTGAGTCATTAATTGGCATTCGTCTATTTGGTTCTTACTTGGATGTCTAGCTGACATGTCACCCCTAGTGTACCTAACAGCTAATGTGACTCCCTCTTATGATCATCTCTCTTTCACTAAGTGATACCTCCATCTCTTTCCTCATGCCCTTCATCCAATCCACAATACACACTGCCAACTAGACCTTCAAGTCATATCCAGACCCAGACCTCTCTCACTGCTCTCCCGCACTCCCTCTGAAGCTGCCACTGGTCTCCTGGCTCCTATCCTTGCCTAGACAGTCATTCTCAACACAGCAGCCAACTGCTTTTTCGAAATTGGAAGTCAGCTCACGGCCTTCCTCCCCTCACAACCTCCAACCCCAAGGAAGATCCAGTCTTTCCTGCAGCCTGTTAGACCTCACTGCTAAACTTGCCTCCCATGTATCTCTTTCTTACCTAGTCTGTCATGGCCTGTGGAAGCTTCCTTTCCATTCCTCAAGCACACTAGCCCTGCTCCTGCTTCAGAACCTGTGCATTCGCTACTCCCTCCTGCCTGCCAGGAGTAGTGGTGCACGCCTGCAATCCCAGCAATTGGGTGGCTGAAGCAAGAGAATCATGGGTTATACATGAGATGGGAAGGAAAGGGGAGGGGGAAGGGGAAGGGGAAGGGGAAGGAGGGAGAGCGAGAGGAAGGAAAAGGAGGGGAAGTTCTTGCCCTAGATCCCTGTGCATCTCTTCCATGGCCTGCCAGCCTCTAATCCTGTGCCCCTGGACACATGTCATCAGGACTCTGTGAGCTTGTCTGCACAGAGCTAAGGCAGCTCCCAGATGGTCGCAGATGTCCAGGCAAGTTTGGTACCAGTTACATATCTGGCAAAGATGCAACAGCTTTGTGTTTAGCTTTTAAAACTTCAACTTTTTTTTTTTTTTTTTTGGTGGGGGGTGCTGGAGAGTGAACCCAGGACCGGATGGCTGCTTAACACCCTCTCTGTACCCCGAGTTCCTAAAACTTCGTATAAATAGAGCAATCTTCAGGAGCAACAGGACCTGGCTGGTGGGAGGGGAGCTACCAAGTAGCCCTAGTTGATGAATCCAGGGCCTCTGCAGGACCAATTGAATCTAAATATTTTATCAGTGGAAAATACCTTCTGGCCAAGGTCCCCCTGATAAGAACGTCTGTCTCAAAGGTGGGGTCAGTGTGGTGCCCATGGAGAGAGAAGGCTAGCTCTGAGAACCACAGGCAAGAGAAGAGCCCAGGTGGGCCTGAGTCTTAAGAAAAAGGGTACAACTCTGTGAACACACTACAGCCCACTGAATTATGTGCTTTAAATATACTTCATGGCATGAGTTACACTGCAACAAAGCTGCACATTAAAGAAAGAGGGACAGACCTGGAGGGATTGGGGAGTGTGCAGGACTCTAAAGCCAACTGGGACACAGAAACCAGGGACAGGCAGCAGAGTTTACAGAGCTGAGAACCTAGATAAACCTGACACTCTGTAATCTGTACACCTTTCATGTTCTCTTACTTGCAAAGAGACCTTGGCACTACCTGGGTACTCCTCTGTGAGCCCAGGATGCACGAACCTGAAAGGAAGGGACAGGAGTCCTCTTGCTCACACACATCTTGGGGAATTACTCCCACTTTTGGTAGTGGGAAGCAAGATCCCACTAGCCTCCGACCGGCTGGGAGTAAGACCTCTGCCCCTAGAAGAGAGTGGCCATTTGATCTCTCCTTCCCCATCTCCGGTACCCATGGGTTCGGGGTTCTGAACCTACCACCAGTTTCATCTACCACAAGCAAATGACAGTCCCAAACATTCAAAATGGATGCAAGGAGCATGGCTCAGATGACCACAGGCATCAGGAGCTGGTGGGACAGGAGGCTGCGAGGACCTGCCCTCCTTCTCCCAGGAGCTCTGCTCTTTCCCCTTCTCTCACCCACCTGAGACACACACAGGTCCCTCAGCTCACAGCAGGGCTGGGAAAGGAACCTGCTAGCAAGTTGAGAAAATGTCAAAAGTGACGTAACGCACCTAGCCTACTGGTATGGCTTGAATGCCACCTCCACAACCCACGTGGAGACTTAATGACCACGGGGCAGTGCTGCAATTGTGAATGTGTTGACGAAGGCAGGATCGAGCTCCTGATCAAATGGGTGAGTTTGGCCAGATTTTCTCTGTCCCACACACATGCCCACTAACCCTCCTATGCAGCAAGAAGACCCTCACCAGATGCAGCCCCTCACCTTGGACTTCCTGGCTTCTAGAACCATGAGCCAAATAAACTACTGTTTATAAATGACTTGGCTGGCAGTTTTCTGTTGCAGCAGCAGAGCACAGATTATGTGACAGAGCATCGTAGCTTAGCAACTCAGGACCTCAAGGAGTATGGGTGGCTCATCCCTGTGGTCTCACAGCTGACTGGGAGCTATGGCTCACTCTCACTGCGCAGCAACAAACCAATATGAACAGCCATGGAAAAGATCAAAATTCGGAATCAAAAGTACAGTCTCCACTGAATGCACATCACTTTTGCTCCATTCTCAAGTCAAACCAGAAGCTGGAAACCATCTGTACTCTTCTTTTTCTTCTCCTCTCTCCCCCACACCTTCCTCTGTGGTGACCTTGCTCGTTCACTGTCACTCTTACTTTCTCCCTGATTCCCTTCTTCCTCCCCCTACTCTCCAGAGATGTGGGTGACCTCTTTCACAATGACTGCTCAGCCCTAAGGGCAATCAACCTTCTTCAGAAAAGCAAGCCTCCAACCAAGGCAGCCTCTCACTAACAACCCAGCATGGCAACAGACCCAGTTTCCAGCAAAGCATTTGAGTGTCCGCCCACCGTTATGTGTCCCTGCCGACCTAAGGGAACGCTGAGGATCATGTGTCCATAGTGATTTGTCATCGCTTTCCATCATCAGACAAAATGGAACAGTAAGAGCCCTTATCTTAGCTACACGTGGTGGTGCACATCTGTAGTCCCAGCTGTTCAGACGCTGAGATGGGAAGATCCTTTGAGCCCAGGAGTTCAAAGCCAGCCTGGGCAACATAGCAAGACTCTGTCTCAATTAAAAAAAAAAAAGTGAGGGCTGCAGGAGTGGCTCAAGTGGTAGTGTGCCTGCCTAGCAAGCGCAAGGCCATTCAAACCCTAGTGTAGCCAAAAAAAAAGGAGAGAGAAAGAGAAACGGAGCCCTCAACTTTCTTATCTTTTACTTTCTTATCTTTTTAAGACATACCATGAAGCACTTATGATAAGATGATGTGATATATGGAATTTACCTGAAAATAGTACAGGATGAACAGACATGTTCAAACCCCAATACTAAAAAAAAAATAAAGTAACAAATATCAGTGAGACCAGGAGAAAACGGAATCCCTGTGTTGCTGGCGAGACTATTCGACAGTGCAGCCACTGTGGGAAACAGTGTGGCAGCTCCTCAAAACTTGGACACAGAATAGCACACAATCCAGCAATCCTGCCCATTCCCTGGGTGTAGAATCACAGCACTAAAAGCAGGGTCTTGGGATATCTGAGCACCTGTGTTTACAGCAGCACTATTCACAATGCCCAAAAGGTGGAAGCAACCCAAATTTCTATCACTGGATGAGCAAATAAAATGCAGAATATACATAAATGGAATTAACTCAGCCTTAAAAAGAAAAGGGATGGTGATGCAGTCAGTGACAGAGCACTTGCCTCACGTGTGGGAAGCCCTGGGGTCAATCCCAGCACTGCAAAAAATAAACAGTGAGGAATTTCTGAAACATAGTGTACAACATGGAAGAACCTGAAGACACTATGCAAGTGATGCAAGCCAGATGTAAAGAGACAAATGCCAAATGAATGCACTTACATGACATTCCTGGAAGAGGCAAATTCACAGACAGAAAGCAGAACATGGGCTGGTGGAGTGGCTCAAGTGGTAGAGCACCTGCCTGTCAAGCGTGAGGCCCTGAGTTCAAACCTCAGTGCCACCAAAAGAAAAAAAAAATGTGCATCTTGGTGTCATGTATACACCACTATAATATAAGGGGCCGGTGGCTCACACTTGTAATCCCAGCTACTCAGGCGGCAGAGATCAGGAGGATCACAGTTCAAAGTCAGCCCAGGCAAATTGTTTGTGAGACGCTATCTTGAAAAACCCTTCACAGAACAGGGCTGATGGAGTGGCTCAAGGTGTAGGCCCTGAGTTTAAGCCCCAGAACCGCAAAAAAAAAAAGCAGAATGGTGGTTTGTGGACAGGTTGTGGGCAAGGAGCTGGGACCGTCCGGTTCTGGAAATGGGGTGGTGGCTAACACTGTGAATGTACTAAGTGCCACCAAACGACACATTTAAAAATGATGAATTTTGTGCTGTGCCTTTTACCACCCACACACAACAAAACCAACCCAAGGAGCAGGAAGCTTGCTGTGTCCAGACAGCTCTTCCAGGCCAGCAGGGGACAGCACGGACAGCGTACCTTCACAAGGCTCTCAAACCAAAGGCGTGGGGAGCGTTGCTGGGGAGCAGAGCTGCGGAGAAAGAAAAAGCTACCTAGGCACATGGTCTAGTGTCCAAACTCCACCTACGGAAAGAAGAAAACAAGATGCTTTTAAAGCAAGCAAAGCATTTAAGAAACACAATAATCATCCCAGTGCAGGTATGACCCTGAGAAAACCCTCCATCCTGAAACTCCACACAGGCCCTGGAGGCAGTTAAAGATAATTCCCAGCCTCCACTTGTTCCCTTCACCTCTGGTGATATGGCGGTTCAGAGCACGAGTTTACCAGCTACGAGCAAGGGTTTGTACCTGTGTGTCTGCTTCACCCTGTGCACAATGGGGCTGTTACAGAGATTCTGTGAGTTAATGTTTGTAAATCTCTTACCACACCGCCTTTCACACAGCATGCACACGAGTGTGTGGCCACCAAGCTCAGTGGCCAGTCAACTTTCCTTCAAGCCCTCCAGACTGCTGAGGGGAAGCCTGCACAGCACAGGGGCCTCGGAGGGCAGCTGGCACACCCAAGGGCTCCTCCTCCAGAGCTGGAAGCAGCATGCCAGGGAGCAGGAACAAGATGGGGGCAGGTGATCCGGGAAAGTCACAGGAAGGGGACAGGACCATGGGCAAGCACTGGACAACCAATGCAAAGAAGGAAAAAGTGGGAGAAGCTGGCAGAGCCCTTCTTTACAAGTAGGCAAGTTCTCAAGTGTGGCTGGACTTGAGCGCCACCTTGGCCACCATGGAAACTTCGTGTGCATGGTCGTTACCCCACGATGGAGACATGGTTGGCCAGTTTCAGAAACGTCAGCTAATATTCCATCAAGCACGTGTACTCGTGAATGAGAATGAAAGGCCTCACCCCTAAGCTTCTAGCTCTGCTCCTTCTCATTCTAACCCTGTGTTCCCCACCCATCTTCATCTTTGGCTGAACTTTGACAGACCAGCATTTAAGTCTGGATTCTAAGTAGAGATTGGTCAAAATAAGTGTAAAAATTTAGAAGGAATGGGAAGGAATCAGCTGTCCCAATTTCATAGATGGGAAATAGGGACAATTTTTCTGAAGTTTTCCCTTTGTACTTTTCTTATTTGGATTTTCACATTTCTTTTATTTTTTCTCTTTTTTTGAGACAGGGTCTTACTATGTTGTCCAGGCTGGCCTTGAACTCACAATCTTTCTGGCATTTCAAAACATAAGCTAACAACACTGTAAAGTCTACATGAGGACAAAAGGCCTGTCATCAATGGTAAGTCCTGAGATGTGCCATGAGTGTACCTGGTCACTTACACCAGGCTGGCCTCAGAGCCATCAGCCATGGGCTTCTGTTGGGTTACCCAGACAGTCTCTGGGGTGGTGAGGGGCTACCAACCCTGAGCATCAGGAGTTACCAGCCCAGGCTGGCTGCTGCTCCGAGTCACCAGAACCTCAGGAGTCACATACAGGAGCTTCACTGCACAAGGAACTTACTGAGGGAACACTCCTGCCTGCCTCAAAGGACCAAGATGCCCTGGCACGCTGAGCTCTAAACGGGGAGGGGGAGGTGAGTCTCGTATTTCTCATTTCCCAGCATGTTCATCTCCCAGGTACTGCTAGCTGTGGCACAGATTTTCCTTCAGTTTGGTATTGAGACATTCACTATAGCCCTTGCCATAATTATGACACACTTTAGAGTGCTGTAAGACCAGGATCAGAAAACACTGTCCTAACACAACATTCCAGATTAGAGACTTTTCAACACCAGAAATTGGAAAGTCCACCAGAAACCATTAGGTGTAAACTGCTCACTCCACAAACAGGTAAACTGAGGTCCAGGCAGGTACGGTGATTACATTAGAAAAGCACACTCCTGTTGTCCCTCCTGCCTTAGTTCTCCCAGCACAGGGCCCAAGCTTCCTCACAGTTAACCACTGTGAGGGGTGGGGGTGCTTATTTAACCCTGAAGCCAGTGATCCTCAGCCCTAAATGCACTGGATACACCTGGGGAGCAGGCCGAATGTGTGAACGCCCAAGCCGTTTAATCCAGAGTCTCGGGTGGCCTCAGGGCTAATACCTCTCTCCTCCTGGCTTTTGAGTGCATTCAGTGACTCCAGCACCGCAGGCTTCTAAATTTGCTTCTCTCCATCTTGACTTCTCTTCCCTCAGACACTTGCATGGCCCACTCTCTTACTCCCTTCAGATCTCTGCTCAAATGTCTTTTTGTCAGATTTCTCTATTTATTTTATTTTTGAGATGGGATCTCCTGGTGTTGTCCATGCTGGTCTCAAACTTGCCATCCTCCTGCCTCACCCTCCTGAGTAGCTGGGATTACAGGCATGACCACTGCACTGGGCTTGACTTTTCTATTTAAAATAGAAAATCTGGCCAGGCACTGGTGGTTCACACCTGTAATCCTAGCTCCTCTGGAGGCAGAGAGGCAGAGATCAGGAGGATTACAGTTTGAAGCCAGCCCCAGGCAAATAATTTGGGAGACCCTATCTCAAAAATACCCAACACAAAACAGGGCTGGTGGAGTGATTCAAGTGGTAGAGCACCTGCCTAGCAAGTATGAAGCCCTGAGTTCAAACCCCATGCCACCAAAAAAAAAAAACCAAATAACCTGCCAAGCATGGTAGTGCACATGTGTATGGGCTGCAAAGTAATACCCTCAAACAACAAAACAAAACAAACAAAAGCTGCATCCCAAGACTGGAGCAATAGCTCAGCAGCACAGCATCTGCCTGGCTTGCATAAGGCCAGGATTCAATCTCTAGCACTATAAAAATAAAATAAAATAAAGCCGGGCACAGTGGCTCACCTGTAATCCTAGCTACTTGGGAGGTTGAGATCAAGAGGATTGTGATTTGAAGCCAGCCCAGGCAAACAGTTCCTGAGACCTCATCTCCAAAATAACCAGAGCAAAATGAGCTGGAGGTGTGCCTCAAGTGGTAGAGAGCCTGCTTTGTGAGCACAAAGCCCTGAATTCAAACCCCAGTCCACCAAAAAATATAAATAAGACAATTATTTGCCTAGAAAATCTGCCTCCCTACCAAGCCCTCACCCTCCACAGCACCTCTCAGCTTTAATATGTTCCTTGTTTATTATCTACAAACCCAGTCACTATGAGGAAATTTTTTTATTTTGTTCCCTGTTATATTCCCAGTGCCTACAGGAGTGCCTGGTACATAGAAGGCCCTCACACATTTACTACAGAAAGTAATGAAGACATCAGAAACACCAATCCCAACACATAACTGCTTACTAGGCATGGTGGGGTGTGCCTATAATCCCAGCAGGAATATTGCAAGCCTGGGCTATATAGTGTCAAAAAAAAAAAAAGGCTAGAAGCCCATGAAACAGAAACCATTCAGACATATGTATTTCCAGTCAATTAATCCAACACAAATGGGCTTGTGAATCAAAGACAATTTGTCCTGAGAAGGAGATAAAACCATGGACACAGAAAAGGAAGCTGAAAGAAGACAACTGAACAAGTGGGTTTCAGAGACACTATTCTCGAATAGACCCAGAAGGGTGGGCTGGAGGAGTGGCTCAAGGGGTAAGAGTGCCTGCATAGCAAGCGTGAGGCCCTGAGTTCAAACCCCAGTGCCACAAAAAAAAAAAAAAAAAAAAATGTATATTCAGAAGGAAGCCTGAAAGCAAGGGCCCCTCTCTGGGGTCACTCTAAGATGCAGATCCAGGGGGGCAAGGATGCTCACCACCCAACTGTCCCACTGAGGACGCCTTTGTCTTTTATCAGTTCCACTTATTCCTCACCTGCTTCCAAAACTCACTTGAACCCACTGAGGAGTTTAAGGTGGGGCACTGAAAGCCTTTGTCAAGGCAGCCACAGAGCAGTTGAGGGTGTCCTGCCATTACAAGTCTCACTGACACCACCTGTTCACTTCCAGACCTGCCAACCTGTCTGGGTAGCTCATCCCTCTCTACCTCTGGACTGGAAGCCAAATTGCTTTCTGGTTTCATTCAGGGAGAACTTCTGAGGGCAAAGTTCATCTCACACGCTTCCTTCATGTGCTCTGCTGGGGCAGGGGTTGGGGCTGGGGCTGGGCCAGAGCAGATTGCTGATCAGTGATGGCAAAAATCCCCTGCAGGATTTTAAGTATCAGAAAACATTCTTACACTGGGCATGGTGGTGAACTCCTATGATCCCTGCCCTAGGGAGGCTCAGCCAAGAGGAGTTCAAGACCAGCATGGGCTACACAAGGAGATCCTGTCTCAAAAAAAAAAAAAAAAAAAATCTAAGAAAACAGCTTGGTGCTGGTGGCTCATGTGTGTACTCCTAGCTACTCAGGAGGCAGAGATCAGGAGGATCACTGTTCGAGGACAGCCCAGGCAAATAGTTTTCGAGACTCTATCTCAAAAAACCCATCACAAAAAAGGGCTGGTGGAGTGGCTCAAGGTGTGGGCCTCGAGTTCAAACCCCAGTACCACAAAAAACAAACAAAAAAACAGTAGCATTAATCACACATCTAATTATCTTTTAGGCCCAAGACTTACAGCCTTAGTGAAGAATTAGTGAAGCAGTTTTTACAACCTCAGCCAGTTCAATGCAGAGCTAGAGGTCTGTCTAACAAGACCAAGACTGAGAGCAGAGAGTAACCCTTCCACACCCAGGAGGGTCTGAATGGCTGCCTTCTCCTCTGGAAATGCCAGAGTTCTGCTTCAGCTGTGTTCCAGACCATGGGGTGCCCAGAAACGGGCTGCAGTTACAATGGATGCAAACCCTCGAAACTCCTCCCTCTAGTCTCACTCTGCCCTTGGGCTTGCTAAAAGAACACCTTCAGCTTCAGAGAGTGAACTGGCAGAAGGAGGAAAAGGCTGTAAACTGCAGTAAACCAGGGGTGTAACAGTGAAGCCACAGCCACTCACTGGCCCCCACTCTGCTCCAGAGTGCCAAAGGGCAGTAGAGGTAAAATGTTCCAACAATCAGACTGCAAGGAGGAAGGAGCAGTCCCCACATCACCCTCAGGACAGGCTTAGCCCCCAAAAGGGTGAAATCCAGGGCTGTATGTGAGGCTTACCATGGCGCCCCCTCACTTTACAGTGCTGCCAGTGTTAACATCAAGACCTCTTGCGTCTCCACAGTCCACAGGAGGCAGCCCAGGGCCAGACCAGAAAAGGAGGGATTTCATTAGAAGCTTCCCTAAAGAAAGCACCCCACCAGGCCAGTCATGGGAGGCTGAAGCTGAATTTGAAGCCAGCCTAAGCAACACAGTGAGACCCTGTCTCAACATAAATTAAATATGAGGCCAGCCCAGGCAAGAAAGTTTACAAAAATAATGAAAGCAAACAGGGCTAGGGGTGTGGCTCAAGTGGTAGAGCACCTGCCTGACAACTGCAAGGCCCTGAGTTCAAACCACAATACCACATGAATAAATAAAGAGCTAGCCCAACAAATGAAGCTAGAAGCCAAGTCACACTCCTCATCAGAGGTGCAGCACTCTGAACCCAGGACCACCCTGTCAGAGATGAGCTGACTCCAACGCAGATCTAACAAAGGGATCCTCCCCTGACAGAGGCCTGGGAGGGGCAGCCAACTCCAACATCACTCCTCCACAGTTGCAGACGTCTGAGTTTTACTTTACTTTGTCTCTGAAATGAAAACAGACTTGCTGGGTGTCTGCTCATTTACATAAAGATGAGATATAAAACTTTACAAAACCCAAATAATAGGAAGAAAGTACAAACAATACAGTAAACCGCCCCCCCAACCTGTCACTCAGCAGTCAGGGGATCTTTCGGTGAACTCTGTTCTGAGAGCAGAAGTAGGTCTGTGCTGAGTGAGACCTGGTGCAGTCCTGCATTCTCTAGATGAGCCTATGAGTTTGTTTTGATGGAAAACCCTTAATACTACCTCTGGACTACTAAAAGAAAAAAAGACTCTGTTAAAAAAAAAAAATTCAGCTAGGTGCCAGTGGGTCACGCCTGTAATCCTAGTTACTCAAGAGGCAGAGAGCAGGAGGATTTTGTTTTGAAGCCAGCCTGGACCCTATCTGGAAAAAAACCCATCACAAAAAAGGGCTGGTGGAGTGGCTCAAGGTGTAGGCCCTGAGTTCAAACCCCAGTACTGCAAAATAAAATAAAATTTTAGCCAGGCAAAATGGCTCATGTTTGTAATCCTTGCTACTCAGGAGGTAAAGATCGGAGAGATCTCAAGCTCAAGGTAAAAAGTTCTCAACCAATAAAAGCTGGATGCAGTGGTACATGCCTGCAATGCCAGCTACTCAGTTAAGTACAAAAAGGTAGATCGTGATCCAGGCCAACCTGGGCATAGACGCAAGACTCTATTCAAAAAATAACCAAAGCCAAAAAGAACTGGGCATGTGACTCAAGAGGTAGAGCACTTACCTAGCAAGCACAAGGTCCTTAGTTCAAACCCAAGTACTGCCAAAAAAATAAAATATAACAAAATAAAGTAAAAAAATAAGCCAGGTACTGTGGCTCACACCTGTAATCTTGGCTGTTTGGGAGGCTGAGACGGAAAAGATCAATCCACATTTAAGGCCAGCCTGTGTAAAAAGAATAGTTCACAAGACCCCGTCTCCAAAATCACCAGAGCAAAATAGACTGGAGGTGTGGCTCAAGTGGTTGAGTGTCTGTTTTGCAAGTGTGAAGCACTGAGCTCAAACCCCAGTCCTACAAAAAAAAAAAAAAAAAAGAAAGAAAGAAAGAAGAAAAAGTAATAAAATAAATAAAATTTATTTTTTTTTATTTATTTTTTTTTTTGCTGGCACTGGGGTTTGAACTCCAGGGCCTCATGCTTGTTAGGCAGGCACTACTACCACCTGAGCCACTCCACCAGTCCTTTTCTTGTGGTGGTTTTTTTTTTTTTTTTTTTTCTTGAGATAGGGTCTCTCACTATTTGCTTGGGGCTAGTTTCAAACAGTGATCTTCCTGATATCTGCCTCCTGAGTAGCTAGGATTATAGGAGTGAGACACCAGCCCTGAGCCCAAGCCCACTTTTAAGCTTCAGAATCTCCAACAGGGCTGCAATAACCCTGGAGCTCTTGAGGACAGATATAAGCCAAGGTCACACAGTCCCCCATGTCCCCCCCCCCCAAAAAAAAAACACTCATTAATGACCAGGAGTCAGACAGGTCCTTTCTTCACTCAACTTGGTGGCAGTCCTTCCGCAATCAATCACACTAATGACATAACATCCTTTTTTCCCACCCCAGTCCGTTGGTGAGAGCAAGGGGGCCACCATTACCTCGATATGCCACCCTCAGAATCTGAAGAGATAGTAAGGGACTTAACCAAAGTCACACACTGAACAGAGGACAACCCAAACTTTGATGGCACCAAACTTCAAAGGTGTTCATTAACTTTTCTTGGAGCAATGAAACAGATCAGATAGGTTCTTTCCACATGTGCTTCCGGGCTGTCAAGTGAAAGCAAAAGGCTGGCTGAAAACACTTCTCCAATGTAATTAGCTAATGGATGTCACATCCTGTACCCATGGAGCAAGCAAAGGGAAGGGCACTGAGCCAGATGCCCACAGCAGACCAGGCTGATTTGGGGGTGTGCCATGCTCTGCCTCATGGACAGCAACTCTCTCCTTCCTATGCAGGACTTTCTCTTTCTGTAAGAAAAGAAAAAGTTCAAGCAAACACCCATGAAAAACTAAGGATGGAGATTAAGTATAAAACAAACACCAAAAGGCTGGGGATGTAGTTCAATGGCAGAGGGCTTGTCTGGCACACGCAAGGCTCTGGATTCCAAAGCCAGCACCACAAAACAAAACAACAAAATTCAAAATATTGAAATGTTGGCAGTAGTTCTAGATAAAGGATTTAGTAGGGAGTTTTATTTCCTTTGTATACCTATCTGTATTTCCTACGTTTTCTACGAGTATTTCTTCTATAATTATTTTTAGAGTTTCAAAAGAAAAATAATCCACAATCTGGGTTAACCTATCAGGATTTTTTTTTCACTAAAGAATAAAAGGACTTCTGAACTCTGGAGGGTCTACCACTATTTCCAGCATGGCAGGAGCAGAAAAAAGTACAAAGCTCCTGGGATTTCAGTCCAATGGAGAGCTCACCCTTGACCCTGCTGAGCTGAGGACACAAATTATCACTTTCTACCTCTAATAAACAGGGAAGTGCAACTCGAAGCCACCCTCTCTTCAAGTGCCACCAAAATCTCTGCTCCACGAGTTCAGACCTCTGCTCACGGAAGGACTTTCAGAGTATCTGCCCTCTCCATTGCTGGGCCACAAAAAACTACCCACACCACTTCGTCTGCACGCCTTCTCCATTAGCCGGGTCCAGGGAGCCTCCTTCCATATTTTACTTCTAGAAAAATCATGCTTCCTCCTCCTCCAGTTTCACAAGCACAGGATTCCACCTGAATCAATCGTCTGCCACTGCGTAACTACCAGCTATAGTGGCTAGTTAATGTTGAGGGAAAGGGCTCATTTTCATGCAACCTGAGGAAAACAACCGGAAATCAAAACCCAGAGTTTGGGAGTATGTCCTAGCCCCAGCAAGAAGGGGCGCGGGGGACATGCAAGTGCCAGAGACAGAAACATCTGTCATTCTGTAGCTTCATTTTTGATGGTCAGTTAATATCCCAAGTTTATTCATCGGTCTCTTCCAAGTCTGGTTAGTGAGTCAGTCTCCCTGAAGACAGTCAGTTGAGGGCCTGCAAAACTGAATTTCTGGTCTCCTAAGCTCAGAGCCAGATCCCAAGGTACAGCAATCCCCCAGAAGTAAAGCTGCCCAGGAGGATCATCGCCACTACAACTGCACCCCCACGGTGGAGTGCATCTGCTACATCTAGCTCTCTGGTACCTCCACGTGGCGGACTTTAAAATCCAACCCCCACCTGTCTGTCATGGGCCCAACTCTGCCTTCCAGCCATTCTCGACAAAGGGTCTCTCAGAGCTGCATGCCTTCACGCTTTACTTTACTCAATCTTACTTGCCTGAAGAACTCCTATTGCTCCTCCAAAGCCCAGTTCAAGAGTCACCTCCTCTCTGAAGCTTTCTTTGCATTCCTAGGCATTTCCTTCTTACTTTTCCCAACAGCTCTTTAACCACAGAGATATTAGAGAATATAAGTATACATTGTAGCCCATCTTTTGCAATATTTGACCTCTCCTGAATACTTTGAGCTCCTAGAGGAAAAAAAACAAAAACAAAAAACAAACCTCATTTTGTTTCCAGAAGTTTTTATCAAAGCATTGGAAAACAGCATTAAACTATTAAGAGTAAGAGAGAGACAAAAAGATTAGTTAGTTACTTAGTTACACAAAGTTCAAGAACTGAATCATCAGGTTGGCAGAGTGGCTCAAGTGTTAAGAGTGCCTGCCTAGCAAGCATGAGGCCCTGAGTTCAAACCCCAATACAACAAAAAAGAATTGAATCATCTACATCTAATCTCAGCCAATGGCTGCAATATGGCCGGAAAGTAGCATGAATATCGTTAAAATCTGAATTATGGCAACAAACATTTGAAATAAGTACTAAACTGTTGACAGAACTTACCTTGACCTGCACAATAACCCTGTGAGGTTTTGTCTGCAGTTAAGAGGGGGAAACTGAGGTACAAGAGAGGTTAAACAATTCATGATGTCACATTGGTAAGTAGCAGAAGCTAAAGGTCAGTTTCTGTGGTTTGCATGAGGAGCCACAGAGCTCCAGATCAGGCAAAGTTGGGTTTGAGTCCAGGCTGTGTCACAAATGTGACTGAGTAAGTCATCTATCCTCTCTGGGCTTGTTCCCTTGTAAAATGGGTACGACCTCTTTCTCCTGGAGTGTGCACAGGACTAAGGTAAATTAAAATTGGTCCTCCTGCCCAGCAGGCACTCTAGAAATGCTCGTTTTTCTCCTCCACTCTCCTCTCCTTCCCTTCCTAAAAGCTCAGTAAAGCCACGTCTCCCTGGACTGCTGGAGGCTTTTCCAGACAGGTCAGGTAGTTAAGTTAGGCCACTCACCACAGAAACCCTTGCCTCACCCCCCTTATCTCAAAGTACATCCCGCATGGGGGCCAGAGAGCTTTTAAAATGTAAATATTCCTAATTACCCTGGAGACACAATCCCAACTCAGGACAGAAAGCATCCCCCCAACCCTCTCTAGACACTCCCCTCTCCCTCTCCTTTTCCTCCTCCAGCCCCCACAGGCCTCTTTCACTTCCTCCAGCTTGCCAAGTTCTCTACTGTTCCACACACGGTTAACTCTTAACCCTCCTTTGGTCGTGGCCCAAACGTCACTTTCTCAGGGAAGCCTTCCCTGAGCCTCAACTCAAGTCAACCTCTTACTCCTGTCTTCATCTTTCTCCTCTTTCGTTGTGTACTTGCCACAGTCTGAAATTATTAGTTTACCACTCCCTATAAAGATTATCCCAACAGCACCTTCTGAGGCTGGGGGCAGAGCTCAACGGTAGCAGGCTGGCAGAGCAAATGTGAGGCACAGTAGAGACAAACAAACAACAACTACAACAACAAAATCAAAGACACCTTCTTAGGACCCTTCCCAGGTCACGCTAAGGTGAACTTAGCACCCACTGAGTAGCTATAATTCCAGCACTCAGGTCTGGAGTTCCAGGCCACCTGGGCCACGGTGGGGGGGGGGTGGTCTGTGGGGGGGGGAAGGGAGAGAGAGGGGGAGAGAGAGGAAGAGGGAGGGGAGGGGGGGAAGAGAGAGAGAGAGAGAGAGAGAGAGAGAGAGAGAGAGAGAGAGAAAGAAAGTAAACCACCTACCCTGGTGCCTCAGAGTCTCCTTCCTTGATTTGTAGCCTACTATATTATATTTTTTACTGTACCATATTTTATTACTCCTTATCTTCCCACATACACACTAGAATAAAAACTCCACAAGGGCAGTTATTTTTGCTGGCTTTGTTCACTGCACCTAAAACACAGCTCATACCTGCTAACAAATCTTTGCTATTCGATGGATTCTCTTTATTATTCATTACTGGGTTTTCCCATTAGGCTAAGAGCTCCCAAAGTAAAACGTGGTGCCTTTCTGGTTTACCACCTAGCCTCAGAACCTGGCCCAGTCATGGGCACATAGTAAGTGCTCAGTAAAAACTTACAGCAGTCCCAGTCCCGGGGTAGGGGGGAGAGGCTGAGGCAGGAGGAGCCCTTGGGCCCAGGCCTGCACAACACGGCAAGGCCACAACCACCAGTGAAAACACTGGAACACGGTAAGAAGAGGTGCAGTGACACACCAGGCTGTCCCCCTCCTGCCACTGAGACATGCACCTGCCAGGTTTAGGAAACAGACCCCTGAAGTCCCCCGGAGCACCGCCCCCCAGGCCAGGCACCTATGGGGCGTCCACAGCCTGTGCACTCCGCACCCGCTACCCCTGCGCCCAGCGCCCTGCAGGCCCTGGGGGAGGAAACCGGGCTGCGGGCAGCGGCAACCCTGCCCCAAAGACCGCCCTCCTCCCCCTACCCCGCCACCAAGCCAGGTCCTCACTGCCAGTCCCATCTGGGCTGGTGCTGCATGTCAGACATGCCGCACTCCAACCAGGACTTTCAACGCTCCCTCTGGCCTACTCCAAAACACAAAAAAACAAAGTTCAAATCCCCGAACGGCCCCTCGGATGTCAAGCGCGGCCGGCGACCCTAAGGGCAGGCGGCCCCCTTCCCCCACCCCGCAGAGGCTGGTCCGAGGCCAGGAGGCCATCTGTCCTCCCGGGGGTCACACGGCCCTTCCCCAGCTCCCCAGGTTGGCAGGCCGAGCCCGCCTCCCGCGCCCCGCGCCCCGCGCCCCGCGCCCCGCGCGCCGCGCCCGGCCGGGTCCCCGAGGACCGCGGACCCCGGGGCCGAGCGGGTACCTGCGGCTGCGGGCGGAGGGCGAGGCGCCGCTCGGGTCGGCCCGGGACGGGACGGGAGGGGACGGCGCGCGGCGCGGGCTGACAGGGCGCCGGCGGGGACACGGCGGCGCCGTTATCCGCGCCCGCCGGGGGGCCGCGTGTCGCGCGGGGAGCGGCGGCCGGGGCGGGGTGGGTGGCGCCGCGGCCCGCCAGGCGGCGGTCGGGGGAAGCGGGGCCGCCGGGGCTGCAGGGCCGGGCCATGGCGCCGCCTCCGCGCTGGGTTCGGCCTGCAGCCCGTGTGGGGCGGTCCGACGGCGGCTCGGTCGGCTCGGGTGGCGGAGGGGAGGGGGGGGCGACACTTGCCTGACGGCGGTGGCGGCGGCGGTGGCGGCGGCTGCAGGCCCCAGGCTCGGCCGCGCGCGTCCCCAGCGCCGGCTGCGGGAGCCACAACATGGCGACGGCGGTGGCGGGCGGGGCTGCGGCTCCGGGGGCGGAGCGGGGGCGGGAGCCGGGCTGGCGGCGGGACCTGGCAGGGGCCGCGGACGGGGACGGGGACGGGATGGAGGGGAAGGGGGGTGGGGACGGGAGAAGGCGACTCGGACCTGGGCACCGGCCAGGGCGGTGGCGGCGGCGGCGGCGCTGGCGGCGGGGCCTGGGCCTCCCGCCCGAGGCGGGGTGGGGACGGCGCCGCGCGGGGCTGCACCGCGACCCCACCGGACACCCCGCCGCCCGGGCCTCGGGTCCGGGACGCGCCGAGGCCGCCCACTAGGGGGCCGCCAGCCGCCTCCCGAGCCGGGCCGCCGTCCCCCGGGTCGAGGCGCTCGGGGGAACGACGCGGGGCTTCGCGGGCTGGGCCGCCGCCACCCGCACAGGTTTGGCCTCCGGGGTGACCGAGGGCCGCGAGCTGCGTCGCACCTGGAACCTGGACCCGGCGGGGAGGGCGGGCGTGGATCCCGCTACTGGCCCGGAGCACCGGCCGCTGACCGCGGGGAACCAGGAAGGAGGCGACGCTTTGCCAGAACCAGAAGGGCGGCCACTAACATTGAGCTGGGCGAGCTGGGCGCTTGGGTAAGGAGCGTGCGGTGAGGAGGCAATGGAGGGCGCAAAGGGTGAAGATGCTCTGCACCAGGCTGGCAGGGGGAGCGAGATGGAGCAGGCCTCTAGCTCAAGGAGCATAAGGGCAAGACAGGGGTTTGGGGTTTCGTTTTACGGCCCCCCCCCCCGCCATGTGAAGGAGAAACCTCGAATAAAGGAGCTGAGGGGACATGGAATCATTAATGGTGCAAGATTCCAGGAAAGGGAAGGAGGGAGGAAGACCAAGGGCACTTCGTCCTACGAGATTTAAAGGATGCATAAAGATAGAAATGTTTTGCCAGTGTGGTGGTGCATGTGTGTAATTCCAGCACTGGGGAGGCTGAGGCAGGAGGATCACCATTTCACAGCCAGCCTGGGCTACACAGGGAAACCCTGTATCAAAAACAAGGCCCGACTCAGTGGCTCCAGCTTGTAATCCTGGCTACTTGAGAGGCAGAGATCAGTAGGATCACCACTAGAGGCCAAAAAGTTTGCAAGGTCCCATCTCAGCGAGTGGCTGGGTGAGGTGGCATGTGCCTGTTATCCCAGCTATGAGGACAGGCACAAATAGGATCATAGTCCATGCTGGCCCAGGCAAAAAGCGAGATACTATCTCAAAAACAACCCCCACAAAAAGGGCTGGGGAATGGCTCAGGTGGTAGAGCACCTGCCTAGCAAGCCTGAGGCCCTTACCTCCAGGAACTTACTTTTTTCCTAATTTTCTCTGACCCCAAAATGCTCCATTGTATTCTCTCAGGAAATGAGAGAGTACCCTGAATGTCTGAATGTCACCCCATTTATACTCCCCCCCAAATACTGTACCCCTACCTGTGAATAAGCACAATGCACAATGTGTATGTGACTGTTAGACTGGAGTGTATTTGTAGCCACTAAAAATTATGTTGGAGAAAAAGATTTACTGACATAGGAAATACTTGTAATTAAAACACTAGCGGAGTGGCTCAGGTGATAAGAGTGCCTACATTGCAAATGAGAAGCCCTCAGTTCAAACTCCAGACCCACCAAAAAAAAAAGAAGCAGCAGCACATTACAGGGGCTTTTATTTTCTCCTGTGACTTCTGTATTTTCTTTTACAGGGCATTTATATTTCTTTTGGAAGCAGGGAAACTGACATTTTTAACTAGATTTTGTTACTGTTTTTTGAGACAAGGTCTCACTGTGTAGCCTAAGTGGGCCAGGAACACTCTGTGTAACCCAGGCTGGCCTCAAACTCACCATCCTCCTCCCTCAGCCTCCATATTCCTGGAATTACAGGCTTGTGCTACCACACTTAGCTTTAAAGTATTTTAGAGGAGGGTACTTTTTAAAAGATACTAATGAAGCTCAAAAGTTGAAGATACTAGGATTCAGGAAAGGAAATTGGGAGTGGGTCTTTAGCAAGCAGAGCTGGATGAGATCATCCCAGACAGAAGGAACAGTACAAAGACCAGAGGGGCAAATGGACCAGGTGCCCAGGGAAAACCAAGAACGCTGTTCTGCTGGAGCACACGATTCATGTAGAAAAAGAGTTAGGGAACTCACCTGGAAAGGCAAGGTAGGGCTAATCCAAAAACAGTCTGAATGCAAACTGAAATTTGCAGGTCAGGAGGAGTCACTGGAGCTTGCACAGTGCAGGTGATGAATTTTGAGGCAGATTTTCCTATAACCTCTTACTCAGTGAAATTGTATGTCTCAGCCCTCAGTCCCAATATTTGGGCATTTGACTGACTCAGGACAGTGAAGTAGGGACAACAGTCATTGAATCCAGCTGTTCACAGAGTGACAATTGCTTCTCTGGTTATTACCACAACTTTTGCTCATAGACAAAGACAGAGTTATGTAGAGAGAACAAATTAGCAAAGAATGAAAACAAAAAGACAAAGAAATATGCACTTAAAACCAGGGGTCAGAAAGTTCTTTTGGTTGTGCTCCTCTGTGTATTTCTTACACACAAGACAAAAGTTTCTTGATGTGTATTATCTTTATGTTATACAATGCATGCTGATATTTTTCAGCTTTATTATGTCTTTTTTAAACGCGAATCAGGAGTTGTCACATTGATTCTGTTACTACTGGGTCACAACATACCTTAAAGGATAATGAAAGAAACCAAACTATTCCCTGCTATCTTTGCAGTTCTCATTGTGGACACTTCTATAACCATGACCTTAAGCTTGCCATGTTTACATGTCCCAGAAATCAACACAACAGACAAGATTCCCAGGATCAGTAAGGAGAGAAGTGGTAGAAGGGTTAGCAGGAGCCATA